TCACATCCCAGATAAATGACTTGCCTCCTTATTTGTCTCAGGGTCTGCTTTTGGTGGAACTCAAACTAAGACAAGTTCTGATAAAAGAACAAGAGTGACAGCTATGACAAGAGGAAAACAAAGTGAATAAGCTTAAGGGGTGCTCCTAACGTTTCTAAACCCTGTATTCTCATGTTTCCTTGAGTCTGTCCAGAGGGTAAATGTAACGCCATTTGGAGGGCTCTGCCCCACCAGGGGACAGGGACAGGCTGCAATAGGGTAGACTCTGGGGAGAATTCAGAGTGGTCCAGACAACGCCGTCCCCACCCTGTACCCTCCCCTCTCTCCCTTGCTCAATCCAACCTCACTCTGTTAGCTCTCCTACGATTCCTGTCTGCCCCACTTGTTCATTCTAGGAACTCTCCTTTTCAAAACCGTTTCCAGGAATATGACTCAGAGAATTTGCTACTCCTAAGGCCCTCAATCTCTTTTCCCCAGGCCATATTTCACCCCCTCCACCTGTCATATGCAAACTCTGTGGGGGTACAGTGCACAAAAATTAACACAGGCTTGGTAAATAGGGGGAGTATGTCAGTGTTATCATGTCAACATATCATTAGTCATATCTGATTATTCCCAGCATGCCAACAGTGTGTGCCCCCAGGAAACAGCAGCTGACCACAAAGCTCTCTAGCAAGCCACAGACTAAAGTGCTATCCATGCCACTCACCCCAACCGTTTACGTTAGCTTGATCTAGCCACGTGCAAAAGAGACAAGTCCAGGAGCGGGAGACAGAGCCGTCTGTCCCTCATGGCACCCCCACGATTCCTGCAAAGTCGGCAACTGCCAAGAGGAGGTGACAGCACTACCACTTCCAGCCTGAGAGGGTGTTGTGGATTGAGACAGCTACATGTACCCCCAGATTCTGCCAGTGAGTGGGTGGGCTGTGGGAGGAAAGGGTGAAGAGGCTGAGGGGAAGGAAGTAGGGGGTCATAGACCCTACAGCACTTGCTTGACCAGATTAAGTGCCTGAACTTGGTGCTGGGGTCACTAGGAGATGTGTTTTAAGCACAAGGTGACATGTCAGTTTTGCCTTTGGGAAGTCATTCTCCTGGCAGTCTGCTGGGTCAGCTGGGCAATTGTGTCTTTTGTTGGTCTTAATCATAGTCCCAATTAAAAGGCCAAAAATAAACGGGTAGTGAAGCGTTTTTGCCACAAATGTCATACAGACTTGACAGCTTCAATTTATAAAAAGCTCAATACAGCACCAGATTGATAAGAAACAGCACCACAATCTGGCTAGAAAAAAAAAGGGCAATTGGCCTGAAAAGCCCAGTTCCAGAATATTTTAAATGGTTAATATGAAAAATGGCCAGCTTCACTATCATATAAATGCACAGCAAGATAACAACTGGTTCCATCGCACTGGCCCATCAGTGAGGAGGACTAACTGCCCTCCCCTTCCCCCCAGGGCTGAGGGGTTAGGTAAGAATGTCCCCAGATGGGGAGATAAGCTCTGCGGTCCAGGAAGGAGCTTTGGCCATAGGCTCATACCCTTTGACCCAATGACTATATTTCTGGGGATTTACCAGAAAGTGTATCAGGAAGTTATCAGAGATGTGGACAAAGACTAATGTGTGAAGTGTGCTGTTTATAATAGGCCAAAACCCAAGGTGTCCCATGATCTTGGGAATTATAAGAATCTACCATGTGATATTATGTAGCTGTTAACAGTGTTTTGAAATAGGCAAAAGCCTCATCAATTCTTTTGTTGTTGTTTGGTTGGTTTTTGTACATGAGCATAAAATAAAGGCTGGGAGGAAATATGCCAAAATGTGAACAGAGGCTATCATTAGTTGGTGACATTATGGGCGATTTCTACTTAAAAAAAATTTTTTTTTCCCTATATTTTAAATCTTTTCCATAACATCAAGAGATTTAGCCCAAATAAGGAATTGTAGGCCTCAAGAGTTGCTTTCAGGGAGGCAACTCTGGGGCCCCGAAAACTGAATTCCACAGAGCCATTCCCAGCCTGCTTTTAATTCTCCAACCAACGTAAATAATAGAATAACAAGTTACATTCTTATAAATCCCTACTATATGCGAAGTACATTCCATGCGTCATCTCATGTAATCCCCCCAACACCTCTCTAGAAAAAGTTATTATTTACATTTTAGAGGTAAAGAGCTGAAGCCGTGAGAGGTGAGTGACTGGCCCGAGTCCTCACCTCACATGCTACTGTTTGCTTGACCCCCTTTCCTTGTTCACTCTGTCCCTTTGTATTTAGTCCACCCATCGATGTACATCCTGCTCTCTGAGCTGCAGACCACAAATCCACAGACCCTCGAGGGGAAGACTTTTGTTTTCCAAAGTAAATACGTGGTGGAGGAAGGGGGCGGTCTGGGGCAGGCTTCCCTGAGGGCACTTCCCCCTTCCTGCTCCTGCTGGCTTTAATTTTGCCCCGGACGCCACAACCAGCCTTTTCACCATTCACTTCGTAGCAGTGGCTTGTTGGTGCCTTTTCCTCCACCGTCTGAGGTCAGTGTCTGCGATTCCTCTCAGCCCCGAGCGCAGCAGGAGGGGGCGTTTCCTCTCCCTCCGGCCCCTTCCTCCCGGGGAGCCGCAGACCCTCCGCTCTGCAAGCCCTGGCTCCCCTCAGCTCCCCTTTCCTGTTCCATCTCCCCCCAGTTTATTCTCTTTTCTCCTCCACTTCATCCCCCCCGGACTCCCCTATACCCCACCCCCTTTATCTTTCCTATCTCCTCTAAATGCAAATAACAAATTCCTGTATTTGACAGAAGGGCTGTTCGTGGGCAGTAGCTCCAAGATTTGTTCATTTATATGCATCTTATCGACAGGCCCTATGCCTCACAGTTCCCGTCTCCTAAGTCTCCTTGGGGTTCTGGGGGACCAGACTTGGGGTGGTGGGCGGGCGGCGCGGACTGGAAGGCTGCGCTGCGGGCCAGGCGGGAGGAGGCCTGGGGTGCAAGGACTGGCGCCCTCCGAGTGGGAGAGAGCTGTCGGGAGCCTGGGGACAGCAGTGGCGCAAGTCCCCCCCGTCCCTCGGTCTCCTAGGCTGACGCTCCAGCGGAGGACAGAGATGGCCGCCTTCCCAGGGTCCTGGCTCCTCGGGGGTGCGCTCGCGCTCCTTGTCCTGCAGCTGCGCGGGCTGGATTCCGGTGGGTCTCCCCCGTCTCTCCCTGGCCTGCAGGGTGGAGATTTCTCAGTCGGGGCACACAATCCCATTTGGTCCCCCCTAGCGACTTCTCCTGGGTCCAGGACTCAGAGAAGCGGTGGGGCTGTCCTTTGGCGCCGGGTCTCGGTCAGCCCTCGGCTGCCGCCCCCACACCCCGTCTGACCCGCCTGGTCTCGGCAGCTCGCTTGGACGTGATCGGGCCCCCGGACCCCATCCTGGCCGTGGTGGGGGAGGCCGCGGAGCTGCCCTGCCACCTGTCGCCGGCCGCGAGCGCGGCGCACATGGAGCTGCGGTGGTTCCGGGAGAAGCAGTCGCCCGCGGTGCTGGTTCACCGGGACGGGCGCGCGCAGAACGCGGAGCAGATGGCCGGCTACCGGGGCAGAGTCGCGCTGGTGCAGGACGACATCGCGCGGGGCCGCGTGGCCCTGAGGATCCGCAGGGTCCAGGTCTCGGACGACGGGGAGTACAGGTGCCTCTTCAGGCACAACGACAGCTACGGAGAGGCCAGCGCGCGCCTGAAGGTGGCGGGTGAGACCCCGGGGCGACTTTCTCCGTGACCCCCTGCGACGTACATCTTCCTAGGCATCTCAGTCCCCAAATCCCTTTTAGGCTGGAAAGGGGTTGGCAGGCCTAGAGTCGGGGTGAGTGGAAAGGGGGCTTGGTTGGGAGCAGAGAGACAGCAGCAATTCTTTTCTTGTAGAAACTTATTTCACGTGTCTCCTGCCTTTTCCCGTCGATTATAGGTTAAGCATGTCCTCGTTGTATTAATTAAATCAATGTAGGACGGAATGGCTGTTTAACAGCCTATAATTCTACACCATAATGTACTTGACTGAGTCCCCAAATCGAACATTTACGCGGAGCCTGTTTCTCACATCCAAGTGGGCTCTGGTGAGCGTCCCCTGCGCACTTCCGGGCTGCTCCGTGGGGTAGTGTCCACCGACTTCCTACTAAGATCAGACAGCATGGCTGCTTGTTCACAGTCCCGATCCACCTAGAATAGGTTTTGCTTTGCTTTCCCTTTTTGCTTCAGGCCGAAATTCAGGGTGAAATGCTGAAGAAAGCAGTTAGCCTCCAGGAGGAAAGGGTGCTGAGGCCTGACTTCCGCGCTTTCCAGGGCATGGAGGCACGCAAGCCTCTTTCTGAGCCGTGTTGCCTACTTTAACAACTGGGGGAGCATCTACCCAACAAGAATTTGCAACAATGAAATAAGACAATATATGAGAGTCTGTCCACTCTAAAAGCATTATACACTTGTAAGATACGATTACTGTACCTCAGGCTGCTAGAAATTGCTTGATACACAAATATATAGCCTTTCATGTATATATTCAAAGAAAGACAAAGTTTAAAAAGTACCTGGGTGAAATCTGGGTCTCTGCCTTGTAACAGGGTGCCCCTGTGGCAGCATCATGTACAAAACCCTAAAGATTTAATAGCATGAACCTGTCATTTTACCTTTAATGGGTGATAGACACCTTTGAGAATCTGCTGACAGTGGTGCCCTTTTCATGGAAAGAACACATATTCTCACATATACACACAAACGTGGATTTAAACCAATGGCTGTGGACATGTGTTTTAAGGACCCTCCTGCAGCTTGGTGTTTTCTGTGGAATTGTGGGAAAATAAATAGGCTACACTAACAGGCAAAGCAGATGCCGATTTGTGTTAGGACATAATTGTGGGACGGAAGATGTCACAGGTAAAGGTAGTTTAAATAGTCAGCTATGATCTCAGTGCAAAGGACCTCCAATCCCCTTCCCCTCAAGAATACTTGCTCTGTTCATCCTTAAATACTCAACCCTAGTTGTCCACCTTCCCAAAGCCTTCCCATAATGCTTCCAACCACAGGGCTCCCTCCCATCTCTGCAGCTCCTAGCCTAGACACCAACCCACCACTAGCCATTGGTCTTACAGTTACTGATGACTGGACAAGCATCCCATGTCTGCCCCTCAAACTCCTGCCCACATTTCAAACACTAAATCCCAATATGGCATCTCTCTCATAAGATTATGAAATTCCTTTTATTTATACCTCAGTTTCCTTGTGTAATGAAATATGAGATGAGTCTCCCTCACTCCCACTCCCCTTATGCCTCTTTCTCAAACTCTGTAGCTCTATGGTTGTAAGGCTCTCCAAAGGGTATCCACTGAAGGAGTAAGACCAGCTTCTCTCTCCACAGCTCTGGGATCTGAACCTCACATCCATATTGATCAAGAGAGTGGGGAGACCCGGCTGGAGTGCACCTCAGGGGGATGGTACCCAGAGCCCCAGGTGCAGTGGAGAACTTCTGGGGGAGAGACGTTCCCATCCGTGTCCGAGTCCAGGAATCCTGATGAAAAAGGCCTGTTTGCTGTGGTGGCTTCCGTGGTCATCAGAGACACCTCCGTGAAGAACGTGTCCTGCTGTATCCAGAACACCCTTCTTGGCCAGAAGAAGGAAGCAGAGATTCCCATACCAGGCGAGTGAGACCAAGGCTGGTTCCTATGTGACACAGCATCAGGGCTACCATCTGGGACGCCTGCCCAGCTTGACCTTAGGCAGAGTTGTGTACTACCCCCACCTAAGCTCCTGCCCACGGACTTGAGGGAGCCCCACAAACTTACCTAAAGAGTAAAGACTCTGAAGGCATAAATTACCTAGACCTCATAGAAATTCCAGATGTCCCACCTTAGAAGATGTATCTTAGCGAGAGAAGCTTTGTCTCTGGGGGCCTTCCTGGTCCAGAGACACTCCTTGAGCAAACAAGAAGACTAGGTTAGTTCTCTGGTTCCCATGCTTGCCCCCCCCCCCCGGTCTCCTTCCCACCCCATGCCAGAGCTCTGTCTAGGTTTCCAGGGGTCTCAGAAAAGCAAATCTCTTCAAAATTCCCCAAACGCCACCCCTGGTCCAGGCAGGAACTGTTCCTTATTCTTTGGTCATTGTGTCCCATTCTGCTGTACACAGAGTGAGTTCCCCCTTCTTTATTTAATCCCCTCATCCCCTTGGCTCCCACCCTGCGTTGATTGTTAAGGTAGAATTTCCATAATAACATGAATTGGCCCATTGTTGTCATTATTTCATTATTCTGTCCCCACATGACTCTTTGTCATCTTCATTCCTCTCTTTTTCTGCTCCCTCCTACCTAAGATCAATTTTTTCTGAAAGGCTGAGTGGCACTGGAGGGACTATCTTTTTTTTTTTTTTAAGATTTTTATTGGGGAATTGGGGGGATGGGAACAGTGCTGGGGAATTGGGGGAAGGGGAACAGACAAGTTGCTGTCCTTTTGTTCTTCAGTCTAGTTGTGGAGGACGTTGCTTCACTGGCCCAAGTTGGCACCATCATTGCGCTCTTCCCGGGCGAGGCAGATCAGTCGCCGGCTTCTGGACGGCCGCTCACTGCGGCTGCTGGCCGCTCACGCTGGCTGCTGGCTACACATGGTAGCCCATGGCAACCCACTGCCACAGGGGCTGCAGCCTACACCCACCAGCGACTCACGGCAGCCCAGCTCCAGGTTGAGCTGTTGTTCAGCATCTTAGCTGTGGAGGGCAGTGTCACCGGCCCTCATATGTGGGATCCGAACCGGGGCCCTCTGGCATCCCAAGCAAGTTCTTAACCATCGCGCCACTCGGCCGGCCCTGGAGGGACTATCTTGATCATGGGATGAGGGGAGAAGTCCAGATCACCCCCTCTTCTGAGCCCTTTTGAAAGAAGAGTTGGACTGGCTCAAACAAACATTCTCAACAAATGTCCTTCTTGGGGGTTCTGTTTTAGCTCCCTTCTTCCCAAGGCTGACTCCCTGGATGTTGGCTGTGGCTGTCATCTTGATGGTCCTAGGAATCCTCACCATTGGGTCCATATTCTTCACCTGGAGGCTTTACAAGGAAAGATCCAGACAGAGGAAGAGTGAATTCAGCTCTACAGGCAAGTCATAGACTCCCGGGCTACTTGTCAGGAGTGCTTCTGAGTGAGGTTGGTACAAGTGCTTTAGGATGGCTGCCAATGAAAGATGCTTGACTCTAGAATTCGGAACATCAGAGAGGATTAGAAAGCTCCTGAAATCACTAACACCCAATATGATAAACAGGGGTTTGGGTGCAGGAATCAAAACCAATTCTAACTGAGATATTAGACATGATGTTTGCTCAGTACTCACCCTGAGGCTCTAGCCTCACTTTTAACTCGGTTTCCCAGTAGGAAGTTCTGGCATATTCCTTAGAAAATGAAACAGAATCCTTGTTCTTCAGCGTTGATGATGATTCAGGAATCAGGAGTCACGATTTGACAGTTACCCCTTTGTGTGTTTCTCACACCAGTTGTGTCCCCTCCCTCATGCCCACTACAGAAGGTCATTAGGCATGTCTGTTTGTTTTCCAGAGGAACTCCTGGAACAGCTCAGTAAGTTCTATCTTCTTGTCATTTTTTCACCCGCAAGGTTTTCTCCCCCTTGTTATAAAACCTGCCAGTGACTCTCTTTCTCTCTCTTTCACTGCAGACTGGAAAAAGGCTACAGTGCACGCAGGTCAGCGGCTCTGAACATCTCACAAGCTCTGAGGCTCCGTCCCCCAGGGATTCAAAGTCCTACGATACTCAGACATAAAAACACTAACATATTTTAGTGATGAGAATAGGGAGGGGAAAGATGATGGCAAATGGCCTCAACTCTTCCTTGAGGCAAAGAGAAGATCCTTGGGAGGTGGCTAGGAGACAAGCCAGCCTCTGACAGGGTCCCCTTGGGCACTGGGGACGTCAGTTCATACATCACCCTGTGGCTGCTAATGGAAGAGGGGGATACCAGCTCCGCTCCAAGGAGGCCTGTCAGCTCCTAGACGGGTGTCCTGCCTCTTTGGAGAAGGAAGGATGGGTATGTAACCTCTGACATCACTACGCTCACACTCACTTTATCTCTGTCTCTAGTTGATGTGACTCTGGATCCAGACACCGCCCACCCCCACCTCTTCCTGTACGAGGATTTCAAATCGGTCCGGCTGGAAGATTCACGTCAGAAGCTGTCCGAGAAACCAGAGAGATTTGACTCCTGGCCTTGCGTGTTGGGTCGGGAGGCCTTCACCTCGGGCACACATTACTGGGAGGTGGAGGTGGGAGACAGGACCGACTGGGCAGTTGGGGTGTGTAGGGAGGACGTGGTGAAGAAAGGGTTTGACCCCATGACTCCTGAGAATGGGTTCTGGGCTGTGGAGTTGTATGGAAATAGCTACTGGGCCCTTACCCCTCTCCGGACCCCTCTCCCACTGGCAGGACCCCCCCGCCGGGTTGGAGTTTTCCTGGACTATGAATCAGGGGACATCTCTTTCTACAACATGACTGACGGCTCCCATATCTATTCTTTCCCCAATATCTCCTTCTCTGGCGCCCTCCGGCCCTTCTTCTGCCTTTGGTCCTGTGGTAAAAAGCCCCTGACCATCTGCCGGACCACTGAAGGGCTTGAGGGAGTCACCGTAGTTGCTGATGTCAAGAACCCTTCTACGGAGATCCCACTGTCCCCCCTGGGGGAGGCCGTGGCCTCTGGGGACACAGACACCCCCCATTCTAAACTAATCCCCGCCCAGCCCAGCCAAGGGGCACCTTAAGGACTATCCCAGCTCAGCTCTTTCCCTTCACTCTGCCCGCTCCCTGTACCACCCCAAGGCTGCAGCTGTCAGCCTCACCAGCCCCCCTTTCTTCCTGTTGGTCAGGGACCAATTCGTCCTGGGAAGATTGTGTTGCTGCTGCTACAGAGTGTGGGATGTAGGACCTAATCTGTTTCTGGCCCAGTATTCAGGGGGCTGGGGCTGACTCTTCCACTGCTCTGGTCTCCTATCCCTTGAGGCCAAATACGACAGACAGGGAGGGACATGAAAGGACCCAGAAGAGACAGCTCAGGGATGGAGACAGAGTTAGGTTTGCGTGTGGTTATGACCAACACACCCTGGTTTCCTGAATAGGGTATGTGAAGAACGGGTTTTAGGTAAGCAGAAACCGCAAAGCATCCTGGGAATGGAAGGCCCAAGGCTGAACTCCCATAAAGGAAGCTGGAGGGGGACGTCGTGATGGAGGAAAGTGAGGTGACCCAGGCCTGCCGCTAGCGTTTCAGGGCCTGTTTCACAGGTCTTGCCAGCCATGTCCTACAGGGTGGAGGGAGCTAGCCCTACCTCTGTGGGGTTCTGAGCAGGTGGCAGTGGGGCACTAGGCGTCACACAGAAGGAGTGACAGAGAAGCTCGAAGTCGTGCGCACGACGGTCACGTGGGCCCTCTTCGCTCTCTGCGCCCACTGTTGCTCCTTTCCTGGGATAGTTCCAGCCTCACTCTGTGGACTCCACAAGCTTCCTGTTCTCTTCCTCCTCATGAGCTAGAGTCTCCCCACATCAGAGGCCTCTCCAGGAACCGCCCCTCAGTGACACCACCACTTCCTCAGCCCATGTCTCAGCCTCACGCCCCTTTAGCCTTCATCCCAGCATTCTGTTTAACCTCCTCAAACACACCTCCAATTAGCGTCAACTCTCATGCTCTCCGCCCCTCCCCAGGCAGCCTTCCTGCTATCTCCTCCTCCTCCTCCACCTCCTCCTCCTCCTCCTCCTCCTCTTCGGGGTCCCCTCAACGCTCATCTGTGTTTGCATTTTCCTGTATTCCTGTGGCTTGTCTCACCAACGGACTGCAAATTTATCCAGCCTTACACCTCCCACTTCCATTGTATTTTTCCAGTTTTCGGGAGAGATGTTGCCCATGGTCTTACCCTAATAAATAAGTCTGTCTGATTGCTGAAAGTAGCACCTGTAGCTTCCTTCCTTTACCGCAACAAAAGGAACTGAAACGCAAACAGAGGAAAGAAACCTGTGTGGGGACGCTGCTGTCCAACCAGTGAGGTCCTGTTTATCCAAGACTCCTCCCAGGACCTGATGGCCGTGGCCGGCTGGCACAGGACCCCCACGAGGGTCCAGACACTTACCAGAAGGCCACTGTGCCAGTGGTACCCACCCTCAGCCTCTGGGTGGTGGTTCCATTTCCACTACTGGAAAGGTAATTGGCTCCTGGTATAGGTGAGTGAAGCCACCTCTTGAATTTTTAAAGGTATTTTTCCAGGAGGAGGAAGTTTGGGAAATGTTTAATGGTAATGCCTCATAATTGGAAAACAAACAAAAATGTGGGTGATCTTTGACACCTCTGTTCCAAAGGGAAGGCCCTATGGTTCCCACTTGCAGGCCCTGGTAGCTCAGGGAGACGCCCACTTTCCCCTCTGTGACCCCAAGCCAGGATGGGGAACTTCCTGTCACAGGGGCTGTGAACTGAATGCAGTTGAACCAGAGCTGCTGCCCAAAGAGACAGAATGTGAGTCCCCCATACCCTCCCTTCCTCACCCCTGCCTCAAATACTCTCACCTCACACTGTCCACCCCATGCCACCCACCCCACACTGTACTCCTGAGAGAAGAAATCACTTATCCCTGCTTTACAAGCATTCATTTGCATTCAGATTGTACTTTCAGAGTCAAAAAAACCCAACAAAGTCTGACTTGTGTAAAACGCCCTGGGAATCTCAGGCAGTTGCTTTGCCAGTTTACTGTGTAATGCATATTCTGAAATGTGTGTGTGGACCCTCACCCAGAATAGATGTGGCTGCCACAGGACCCCCGCTGAGAGCAGGGGGAACAAGGTCACATCATGTCACGGGTTCTAACCAGCTCTGCAACTCCCCTCCCCTTCGCTTTCTCCATGATCTTCAAGGAAACCGGCCACCAGGCACAGGTGGGAGCTTCTTAGGAAACCTCTGTGTCCTTCCTTGTCCCCAGTTCCAGCCTCTGTACACGAGGCCCCTGAGGAAGTACTTATCTGATGAGCCTGAAGGAGCCCTTTCCAGCTGGCACCAGCTACCAGCGCCTGCAGGAAATTATCTTGGTAATTCTGGCTTTATTCCTGAATCTTCTGGAATGCCGCCATGTCAAACAATTTGCCAAAGCCTGTGTTAGTCACCTGAGGCGACATCGGTGATACTGAGGTTCCAGCAGCCCCAGAAAGCCTTCTGCCCCACCACTGCCAGTAACAAACTGAACTATCGCCAAGCACATCCGAGCTACTCAAATTCACCCCCGAGATCAGGCTGGCCCCGGGGACACATGGAACAGGGATGCCATGCACACTTTGGACACTGCCACTCAGCTGGTCCTGGCCCAGCTTGTCACAGCACAGAACCCTGAGCCCCAGCCCAGACCTCCAGAAGCCGAAACTGCATTTTAACTGCATCCCCGGCGATTCATGTGCACCCTGGAGTTTGACTACAGAAGAACGTCTACTTCTAGATATACATGCACTTGGAGCAGAATGTCTCAGCTGAGGTGCCAAGAACCCTTCAAGAGACATGCCCCCAGACTGTGAGCAGTGTGCAAAATACATTTTGGGGACAAGTGAGTGTGTGTAGTTACAGTCGCTAAGAGACTAAGGTACAGACATGTGTGATGGCTCCAATCACCTGTTGGTGAGCAGGAAAGCTGGGGTTTGACCTGTTTCCTCTGGTCTGAGGCGGTTCATCCTCTGGCTGAGGTAAACACTGCACATTCACTAGAAAACAGCTTGTCTCAAGAAATTTGTGGGCACACTCTCTCCTTTTCCTCCTCTAGACCTAACTCATGTTTTAGCTACAATAGTTCCTTATTCAAGTGTGTGTGTGTGTGTGTGTGTGTGT